GTATTCATTTTTATCTTCGTTCTAACAAGCCACCAGTTGGACTCTGCACAGACTATTTTCCCTCTCTCTTGTCAATATTTAATCCATTTAATTTCTTTTTTTATGCAATGAATAACATCACAAAAATGAAACTGACCACATTTTTGTTGGTTATTGCCTTCTCACATCTTGAAGAAAGTATTGATGTATTCCTGGTAAACTTTGGCCTCTTGCATTTCTTAATAGTGGGCCATATCTTCCAATGCATTTTTTTGCCTTCTCCTATGTCCAAATTCTCATTCAAATCACAGAGTATTAAAATATATGTTGCTTTCTTTTGAAGAGTGTCATCGAGGTCATCATAAACTTTTTCTACATCTTCATCCTCTGCAACAAATATTTGCTCATAGGCTTCAGTTGCTTTCATGATGGTCTTTTGCAAATGTCTATTCTGAGTCCTACAATAAGAGATAATGAAGTATACCACAATGCAATGTTTCTTGTTGTCTTTGGACTCATAATGAAACCAAACTCTGCCCATTCCTTTATTTTCCTTTCCAAAGAGAATGTGAGGCATCTTTCCATTGAGCTGTGACTTTTGGTTTCATTTGTCATGACAAATAGCAATATAGATTTGATCTAGGCCCTTCTGTAAGATGTAGCTGTTAAACAATGTTAATATTAATAGATGGCAAGGTTCTTAGCATTCTCTGTCTTCCCTTTCTGCCACTGTCCCTGAAGAAGAAGGGACTGTTCAAGGACTGAGAATCACTTTTGTATTTTTCTTTGGTTCACAGGTTACCATGGTCAAAAAATTCATCACAAGTAGCCAACCTAGTGATAAAGGGTCTCTCTGTGCTTCTCTCATTCAAGTAGACACACTCTTACTAGAACCATACCCAAAGTCTTCTCTTTTTTGTAAAATTTAATAGAATTAGAAAGAACAGAGCCACCATGATCCCACAGATTTATATACCGTGGTAAAGGTATGAATTTTTAAAAATTAGCTGGCTTTTAAAATGTATTGGCAGATACAATACAACACAATACAATATAATACAAAAACTTGTCAGTGTCCACCAAGGGAAAGAATAATTAGTAAATTCATGAGTTTGCTTGCCCTTTTACTCCCCACCCTCAACTTTATTTCATAAAAGCCTTTTGAGAATCTTAGTCTTGGCTGAAGCTAAGTCCCCAGGCAACATTCAAATAAACTTCCATTGACTCAACCAGGTAAAAGGCATTTCCCAAATAATTACCCCAGGAAGAAAAGCAAAAGCTAGTTTGGCAAAAATTCACTCATTTGCTTATTTTTTTTTTCTTGCTTTAGATTTTACTCCCCTGTTGTCCTATGCAGTAAATACTGGAAGTTTCAGGCAGAATTTTGTTGTGGGAGGTAGAACTGGGTAAGAGTCATTTGAAAATTTTTCATTCCCAAAGTGACCCAGGCCATCAGCTGGCCTGTGCCTTTGGAATTGCCAGGTCAGTGAATCGGGGAATCATAGATTTAGAGTTGGAAAGATCTTTGGAGGTCATCTCGTCCACCACTCATTTTACAGTCGAGTCAACAAACATATTTATTACGGATCTGTTATATCCGGGAACTTTGCTCAACACTGGGGATACAAACAAAAGAAGCAATTCACAGTCTAAAGGGGCAAGTTTGCAAAGCAATTTATGGAATTTTCATCTTCACAAAATATCTCTGTGAAGTAGATGCTGTTATTATCCCCAGGAAACTGAAGCCCAGAGAAGTTAAGTGACTTACCCCGGGTCACATAGCTAGTAAGTGTCTGAAGCAGGATTTGAACCCTGGGTCTTTCTAACTCTAATAAGTCCAGCACTTTTTCTACTGCACCAACTAGCTACTGTGAGGTTGGGTCTAGAGGAGTGAAACTACATGCCTAAGGTCACACAAATAGTAAATAGCAGGGATAACATTAGAACTCAGGTCTTTGGTCATCCAATCCAGTGCTCAGTGGAGCATAAAATTAATGAGTTTGGCCTGGAGCCTTTTTTTTAGAGGGTTTTGAAAAAAGAAAAACTAAAATTTTCTGAAAGGGGTGACAATACTTCCTTTTCAGAGGGTGTGTGTGGGGGGGTCCTATCTGAGGAGGTAAAGAGTCACTTTCTTCTTTGTGCAGAAAGTTGCAATGAAGGCACTATGCATGCATAGAGCATGCAGTGAGGCTGTCACTGAAAAACTGCACCCAGGCATTATTGCTATTCAAGAGAAATAAATCTTAGTCTTCAACTTAAAAAAAAAAAGACCCAACCACAGCTTTTTAAGAGAAAGATTTCTTTAGTTCCCCCAATGTTGGATAGCTGGTCTATTTTTAGGCTTCCGACAACTACTTAAAACACAGCTCCAAAGTCAGATAGATATACATTTAGACAGCACAGGGGACTGCGAGTCAGGAAGTTACTGTTATTTAACATAGGCTGCTCTGCATTGGCTCCAAGCACATAACCCATGTCCTGCTAGTTACAAAAAGGAAGAAAAATAATCCCTGCACAACCCAGCCTCTGTAATTTATATGAACCACCACTCCACAAAATGTGTGTGTGTGTGGGGAAACCCAAACTGGCTGATTTATTTTTAGCCCTGCCTAGTAAAATGCATGCTATCACAGAGAACCCTTAGCCAACCCAAAACACTGCTGCTTATACAAACCCAAGTGGGGGGTGCTTCAATGGGGAAGGTAACCAGAGAGCTGGGCTGGTTGTGATGCATGAGCCTGTACGGCTGCCTTCTCACCTTAGCTCTAGACAAACACTCGCTCTTTGTTTATGTCTCTCATCCTGGGTTATGGCCTGCGAATGGGGGAAAGTGAGCCATTTTCTCCTTATTGGTGTGTTACTAATGGATGGTTTTTAGCTGCCTACAAAGGGGTTTATATACCACAAGATGCATGCAGGCCACAAGGGAACTGACTTTGGTAGCTAAAGTCCATGAAAATCAGCAGTAGTTACCTATGAAAATGTCTTCATGCATCAGTGGAGAATAGACCTCAGAATGGTCCTAGAAGCTGCCCCCCACACCTTGGTATAACACTGCTTTAACTTCAATTATTGTTCTGTATAGTTTTTTTTAAACCATACTAATTGAAATTGTAATGGAATATTCAATGAAATTCGGTGCTGGAGGTGTCCAGAAAACCTATTGACGCTGTAAAATTTACTAAATTTGTACCTGTCATGGCTGAATTACATGTTAAGTAAATTGCATATGATACAGCTCTAAAATTTTTGAACTAAAAATAAACCATACAGAACCGCTTGGCTGCTATTGTCTAGAAAAATGTTGATGTTTGCTATTCTTTATTGAGTTGCTATTACTTTGTTTTAAAATGTGTTTAATATATTTTTAAAAATGAATCAGATCATTTGAAAATGGTTCCTAGATGGTGTTAAAGAAACAGTACCCTTTTATGCCTCTCCCATCTCCTTCAAATGCCTCTCTCATCTCCTCTCAAATCGTCCTAATTTTTTCACCTTAAACAATTAAACCATAATACAGCCTTTGCTATTGAGACAACTGATTTCTTTCAATTTATTGTTAAGATCATATCTAATACATTTATTTATTTATTTATTTTTTTTTGAGAAACATATCACTGAGTTAGATAGCCTGAAGCTATGGCAGTCTTTCCATTTAAAAAAATAGCAAAAGAAAACAGAAGTCTGGATTTTATTCTCTGACTTACTAATAACACCAGAAAGACTTAGGAAGCAAATAGATTTGATAAAAAAAAATGTGGCAATAGGGGCAGCTAGGTGGCGCAGTGGATAGAGCACTGGCCCTGAAGTTAGGAGGACCTGAGTTCAAATCTGGCCTCAGACCAAACACTTGACACTTACTAGCTGTGTGACTCTGGGCAGGTCACTTAACCCCAATTGCCTAAAAAAAAAGTGTGGCAGTGACTCTGGACTGCTTATACATTTTGTAATTCAACTAAAGGAAAAAAAGATTATTTTCTCAATCATATAGGATACTTAATTTTTTTCTTTTTGAGAAAAAAAGTATGGGGCAGCTAGATGGTGCAGTGAATGGAGCACCGGCCCTGGAGTCAGGAGAACCTGAGTTCAAATCTGGTCTCAGACACTTGACACTTACTAGCTGTGTGACCCTGGGCAAGTCACTTAAACCCATTGCCTAGCCAAAAAAAAAAAAGAAAGAAAGAAAGAAAAAAAACATGCTATTGAATTGTTACAGTTTACTTCCATAATTTGTCTCTCTTTAAAATAAAAACCCAGATTTTTCTTGCCTAAAGGTATGAGATCTGATGTGGACTGGAACCACAAATATTTTTTCTTGCTTCCTCTTCTGAGAAAGACTTGGTCAGAGTCATTGACCATTGTTGACACCTCTGAGAATTCTCCCTTTAATTTTCAGCAAAGGGAGCATTCTAGTCTCTGGGGTTTTTTTGAACAGAGTTTAAAATTTTTTTAACTGAGACTTCAGAAAAGACCCTTGTGTTTTCACTGACCAAGCAGCCATACAAGGAGATAATTGTTGAAAGAAAATTTCCAACCATAATCATTCACTGATCACAATCATAATATCTTAAAATTGTACGTATCTTCAGTTATTTCAATGACTAAATTTTAAAAAATCTAACATTTAAATTTAATATCTCATGGCCTAACATTCATTTTAATAAAAGGGTACTGTCTCTCTAAGAGCACAAAGTAATATTCTGAAAACTAAAAATTTGGATTGGAAGCTCCAGAAAAATAAACCAGAATGCATAGAAGAATCATAGAGCTTCAATCATTGGATAATTTTTATTTTGGTTAGAAATGTTTGACTTTTGTGACAAAACGGTGACTAAGATAATGCTATTTTAAAATATGTCCTAGTTTTTATTGTTGTTGTTTCAGAGAAGCACTGAATATTGAATGTGTGTTAAGTCTCCGGGAATGTAGCAAATTGATAAAAGCCCAAGTCCAGTCTCCTTACAGAAAACAAACATACAAAAAGATCTGGAATTTTCTTTTTTTGGACATTTGTTTTGCAGCTTTCTACGTCTTAAGGCAGAGAATAGCCAGGATAAGGTGCCAACTCAAAGGTTAGAAGAACATATTTCTTGAAATAATCTTGGCAATCCTATGTCTTGAAAGGCATGCCCTCTAAATAATACATTGACAGAACTATAAATAAACCTTAACATTAGCTATTCTTTTTGATCTCTTTAGGGGGAAGTTCACCCCCATAGGGATATACTTGTTCTATTCACAATTCTGCTAAGATCATTTTAACTTAGATAATTCGTGAATCTTTTTCTTTTCAGTTTATACGTACTCTTTTCCTATTTAACAAATCTAATAACCACTCCATCCCAATCTCCAGGAAACTTTATATTCCTTAATACATAAAGAAATAATCATAATAAACAATTCTGTAAGCATATGGTTACTAACAAGTTTGTCATTAACATAAGAGATTTCTACCTCAAATTAACTCTCCACATTACGGTAAGAGATATTTTATTGTCTAAATTGCATAGAATATTATGTTAATACTTATCAATACTCATAATCATATTATTTTGGTTAAAAGTATCAATGTTTAAAAGGATATTACTCTGAATAAAGGAATGTGACTGAATATAACACATTCATGGTACATTTATGGGAAACTTCACCAGAGGATTTATATGAAATCCTAACAATTTGTGGAATTGGTGAAGAGAGACACTCATGTTATAGGAAGTTTATTTTAAAAGGGAATTTAATCTTTACATTTACAGTTGATCATGCTAGAAGTTTTTATTTATTAGGAAGACATAAAACTCAAGTGAATGTGCCTTGTAATTACTAAAGATGAATGAGATTATAGTTGATGTTATCTTTTTTATTGATAAGATTGTAATGGAGAATGCTCCTGGATATCCACTGAAGGACTTATCAGGATATAGGCAAATGAAAACAATCTGCTGTCATTTCTTATTTCTAAATCTCTTTTTTAGAAAAGACTTAATTGAAGTTTAGAATTTCTTAAATAATTAACTTCTGAAATAAAGTTAAAGTTTGGCTTCTTTGGGCAATATGCTGCAAAACTCAGTGGGTTTTTATCTCCTTCTCTCTATGAGACAAATCTGCTTTGCTTAAAGGAAAGAGACTATCTAGTATCTGGCAGCCTGCAGTGTGTGAAGCGGAGGAAAGGAAGCACGCAGCATGGTGCTGTGAATTTTACCACCAAGGAAGACATGAGTATGAATCCCAGCTCCTCCATTTACTGCCCATGTGGCCTTGGGCAAGTTCCTTAACCTCCATGTTCCTCAGTTTCCTCATCTGTAAAACTAAATGGCTTCTGAAGTCCTTTCCAGTTCTAAATCTATGATCGTATTATAATATTGCCCTCCCCCAATAACCTCACTACACCAATGCTAATCAAATCCCTTACCTCCAGTTATATTCATTTCTGATCTGACCCCCACCTAGAACCAACTTGAAAGGGAAAAGAAGAGGGAACATAGGATGAATTAAAAGTACTATCCTAAGATCTTATAAAGCTGCTCTAGTGGCTGGATAGATTTAGGTCCCTCACCCCAAAAGATTCATAATACCAGCCCTCTACATTCTATCCCTGTTCACTCTAATAATTCAACATTCATGACCAGAGCTAAAAGTACCCAGCCCCTCAATGTAGCCTTTTTATTTCCTAGCCATTATAAAGCCCATTTCATATTCCATCTTCTCCATGAAACTTTTCCAGATTTCTCCAACCACATGCCATCTCTTTTTTTTTTTTTGCCCCTAAGCCTTCTTAGTATTTTATTTGTACCTCTTTTATGGTACATTTTGTGTTTTGCCCTATATTGTAGTTATATGGGTACCTGTATCATTCCCCTTGTTAGAATGTAAGTTCTTGGAGGGCAGGAATGGAATTTGTTCTTCTTTGTACCCTTCAAAATGCCTAACACAGCTTTGCACATTATTGACATTCAATAAATATTTGTTGAATGAAAGAAAGAAAGGAATGAACGAATGAATGAATGAATGAATGAATGAATGAATGAATGAAGACCATCCAAGATACTTTTCTAAGGGATCCCTGGCTCTACATCTCCCTTTTGCCCCTTCTCATATTGTATTCAACTATAAATGCCTAATAGACTATAAGCTCCTTGAGGGTAGTTATTGTCATTTTCCTTACTACCCAAAACAATGCCTTGCATATTACTATTATTGGCTTAAATGTTTGTCCAGTTGAATTAGATGAATGGCAGAAGCTCATAGGACAAGTCTAATGACAATGAAGGGATGACATTAGGATAGGATTTTGGAGGATTTATGGTGGTCACTGTGAGGATGACAGATTTTATGAGCAATTCCAGAGGTATAAGATAAATTCCTCAGGAATCTGATTGTATACATTTTGCAGTCCATGGTGGTTAACTTCTGCATGCCCTAAGGAAAGCTTTTCTTGCTGGTTTCTGAGAGGAAAATTTCCTTGAACAATTCAAATTCTAAGTTATCTGTTTCATTAGGAAATTATTGCAGAGCCTCATTCATGGTCTAAAGGAAATATAAATGGATTTCATTCTTGAAATGATTTCATTTTCCCCTACCTGCTGGTCACTTTTTGTGTGGACTGCAGTTTAACCCACCAAACATTCATTAATGGATTCTTGTAAACTAGTAAAGAGAAAATTATTTGTCTGGAAAAATATATAATAATCAATGTAATTTTCTTTTTAGAGATATCTTTCATTAGGAACTAGTAAGTTGCTACCTCTGAAAATATCCTGATTGGGAATTCAATGGTCCAAAACACTGTATATATGTATATTTATTATTAAATTAAAAGATCAAAGTATTATAAAGCCTTGATTAAATTTTAAGGATCATAAGTATTAGAGCTTACTAATTAAAATATGCTTGGCACGATTATGTATTTTTAGGCAATAAAACTAATTTTATGTGATAAATACATCCACAGAGAGTTATTAGCTAATTATTTGTCCACAAATGAGTATATCCAATATGTTTGAAAAACTGAAAGTTACAAGCAAACTATCAGATCTAATACTAGTTTTTAAATGAACTTAAGTTTAAATGAAGGAAAGTGTTACAAGTACTATGTTCTTTCCTTTATTTGTTTGCCTAATGGAACAAAGTTGTTTGTTTCAGTCATGTTTTGAAAAAAAATTACTGATAATTTTGTTTGATAAAGTATTTCAATTGAAAAAATTTGACAGTTTTCATCCTATAATCTGAGTGTGCTCTCACATCACACTTGATGAAAATGAAACAGAAAAAACAATCAATGATTGTTAAATTGGTGGCACAATTAAAAATAGGATCCTAGGATCATAGCTTTTGAGCTAGAAAAGACCTCTGGTCTCCTTAACCAGATGATGAAACAGAAGCCCAGTAAAGTGACTTGCTCAATATTACACCCATAGGTAGGATTTGAACCCAAGTCCTTTCACTTAAGAGTTAGTATTCTTTTTCCCGTGTGTGTTGTGTGTATACACATACACACATATGTATGTATATATACATATGTATGTATATACATGTGTACATATAGTGCATACACATATATGTACACATATATACATGTGTATATTACATAAATTATAAGAGTTTTTTTCAAGAAACCAACAGAATATGTATTCTTTAACATGAATATATACCTCATCTAGGCATAAGGATAACACTGATAAAATTTTCCTAACTGGGAAAGTGATTTTTGCTGTTTCACATCATCACAGGTAACAAGCACTCAAAATTACAAAATCTCAGAAGCTCTCTAATCCAACATCAAAAACATACTTTGTTTAAAGATTTCTAATGAAGGGAAAATACCTCTTCTCCAGATAGCTCCTTATATTTTTCAACAACCCTAACTGTCATGATTTTTTTTCCTGATAAACGTGCCTAATTTTTCCCCTCTGTACCTTCTGTCCATTGATTGATTGATCCGGGTTCTGACCTCTAGGACCAAGCTGATCGTGTCTGAGTCCAGACCTATTTCCACAGAAGAGTCCTTTAAATGCTGTAAATACCCTGTGCGCCTCTCCCTCCCCTAAGTCTGTCCCCTTGAACCTCTTATACCTTTTTTCTACCCCCACTCTGGTCTTGCCAAATCTCAGCCTTGAGTCTCCCCCACCATCTGCCTTCTTCATTCCAGCATTTCCAAGCAACTGAATGTTCCTAGAAGAAATTATACAGTCATATAAGCAAGGTCCAATCAATCAATCAGCATAAATTTGTAAAGCACTTACAATGTGCCCAGCATTGTCTTGGCATATCGCCTGCATCTGGCCATTACAAATTCATGTTATCTGATCTTGTCTTCACCCTCACTCTTGCTCGTCAGTGCTTGTATTGTTACCTAACAGATACTATCACACCCCTCACAGCTGTTATTCCAAAACTTCTTTCTTCTCAAGCTTGCTATATTACTCCCTCATGCACATTCATTTTCAACAGGGAATGTTATCCCCTTCATTACTGAGAAAATCCAGCTATCTACCATGAACGCTTTCCTTCGTCTCCCCTGCTCTATACTCCAATGTGCTCTCCATCATGTCCCAGTCTCTCTTTTCTCAAGGCTCTGAGGAAGAAGTGACCCTTTTCTTTGCTACAGAGATCACCCCACCTTTATTTGTGCCCTTGACCCATCCTCTCCTATCTCCTCTGAAAGCCTGCTCCTTAAATCATTCTTTCTTCCTCACATTCCTTTCTTTCCTCATCTTGCTGCTGTGGTTATAGAGGTTGACAGAGATATGTGATGGAAGTGGGTTGTGGAGAGGTGCCCAATCTGTCCATGAGCACACCCTCTTCACTATATACCACTGAACTGTGCTGTGCAATGATCCTATAGGCTCATTGTGCTGCTTAAATAAACACTTTTTGGTATATGGTTAGATAATATCTGGATGTTTTCCTGTCCTCATTCTCCATGCTGGGAAACTTCCATCTCTTTTCCACTTTCATTCCTGAGAGCTGATACAGGATAGAATAGCTGTGCCCATGCTGTGACAGCCTATGTCTATGCAGATAGTACCTACTGCCTCTGAATCCTTGGCACGAGGCTTTTAAACTCTGAGAAAAT